TCCGCTGAAAGGGGTTATTGAGCATTGGAACAGGCTGCCCAGCAGTCGAGTCGTCATCCCTGGAGGTATTTAAAAGACACATAGACATGGTGCTTAGGGAGATGGTTTAGTGGTGGACTTGGCAGTGTTAGGTTTACGGTTGGACTCGATGATCTTAAGGGTCTTTTCCAACTTAAGTGATTCTATGATCTGTCCCAAATGCTTAATAACAACCGATCATCCCTGTTGCCGGATATTTTCTTTTACACCTCCTGCTTTGTGAGGACTTACTGCTACTAGAAGTCTTGCCATGATGTGTTTCTGGAATGCAGGTCTGAGAGTGCGTTTTATACATTTATGGCTGGCAATAAATCTCGTAACATTTGAAACCTCTGGTTTAGCCAGCTTTCCCAGTTTGAGATGAGCTATTTCACCTTTGTGTCTGTTGCATAGTTTTAAATGTGTTACCTGATCGACTCCTATGGAACAGTGCTGTGACTAAATGCAGGAAAAATACATTGGCAGCCTACAGACTTGTTGCAAAACACACCCTTTCATCATAAGGCAGCAAAGACCTGACATTTCTTTTCAGACTGCTTTCAGCTTTTAATATTTAATATTGCGATCATCCGTTTTCTATCATGTTCTTTTTATTTAATGAGTTGTTGAAAATATTTACTTTCTTCTCCAAACATCTCTGTCATGTAATTGTTCTGGAGGCATCTGAAACTGAAGTCTTTGATACTATGTTTATCTGACTTCAGCTCATTCAAAATTTCTATCAGAGAAATCTGGAAATCATTAAGATAATTTATGTTCTCCATCTAAACCCATTAAAATAGTAGTGATTGTAATTCTCTAGGCTCTGAGTATGTGTGTGGTTGGTTTTTAGATTTTGTTGTTTCCAGGATGTTCTAATAACCTTGGCTCTCCTTCTGCTTTAGTGTAGAAGAACTATTGCTGAGTTATGTTTGATTATGTTATTTTGGCTTGATACTGGGAAGAGAGAAATGAAAAAGCTTACTGAAATGGGTGGGAAACACTGAGAGAGAGAGAGAATTTGAGACAGAGTGACAAGATCGGGGTTCAGTTCCCTCTTCTGCTACAAGGGATTTGATTTCTCTACCTTAGTTTTTTGTCTGAAAATCAGGGATTATTCTCCTTTTCGTCCTGCCCTTTTCTCAGTCTAGTATCTCCAAAATGGAGTTTGATGTATGCATATTGCCTAACAAAAACTGCCCCCAAAACTTAGAGATAGGGTCAAGGAGTCCTAGCTACTTGTTAAGATAGATGGCATTGCTGGGAAGTAAGTACTTCTTTGGAATTGGATGGTGCACCTAACAAATATTTCTACTGTTCTCTGTCTTATTCCCAGGCAAATGCATGCTAGTACAACCTTTTAACAATTGTTAAATGACATACTGAGGATTTTGGGATAGCTGACACTAGCAAAAGGTTCTGGCATATGGGAGAACTTTAACCTTTGATAGAAATGTCAGCTTCTGTGAAGATCATGAAATACTTGTTTAACCTTCTACAAGATCTTTTGTTCATTTTCAGTTGATAGAATATACAACAGAACCTGCTAAATTTCTCTCTGTCCCACATTGTTAAGACAAAACTTGCACGCAGTGGAAGTTGTATAACTAACCATAGGCAACTTGGGAAATATAGATATGAGAAAATAAATTCACTGGGAGCCAAGCCATATAACTTACTGCCAGAATTGCTCTTCTGAACTAAAACAAACCCCCAGATATATTTATCTCAGTGGGTTAATTAAGTGAATTAAAACTTTAAGAAGTAATTGAGACCATCCATGTTGTGATTTCTTGAACAAAGCAAAGTGCTCTACGCGGAATGAGAGCACTGTATCTAGATGTTCTGTCCCTCAGCAAATGCTGTCATTTTTTTGTAATGTGGCCGTGGTGTAAGTCTAGGAATACAAGCACATATTTTGCCACTGAAACCATTACATTTTTAAGCTTAAAAAAAGTGTAAACTGTGTTCTAGTCCCTTAGTCTTGGAACTTGCTTTTCAAAATACTGTATTGAAGCTGAAACTGTATTGGAAACTCTAAGCTATGTGTCTATATACTTTGGCATTGGCTACTGATATTACCTTGCCTACAGAACAGTAATCTGTAAATAGTGTACTCTCTTCTGTACAATAGGCAGTGATGAATTGCTTTATATTTGTCTTCAGATAGAAAAACTGACTGAATGTTTGCATATTGATAAATGGGGAAAAAAAGATAACGGTCAAAGACTATCGCAGGTTACTTGGTCTTACTGTGAAAAACATAGTCTTTTTTAATGGTAGAAGTGTAAAAGATGTAGAATTACATTATTACTGTTATATCCTCAATACCCATATGTAGCCCTTTCTTTCTAGGTGAGGATCTCCACCCTGTGATGGAAAGGCAACTGCTTGTGACAGACAATTTACATTTGTTTATTTGCTCACCTTCATGGTTCCAGCTAAACAGTTCTGGGGAAAAAAATTACTACCATGAACTGAATTTTCTCTGATGCAGAAAAACTAATTTTTCCACTTTACGTAGCTGGCAAGCAGGGCGGTTACTAACACTTTGGTTTCTTCACCAGCAGTAGAGAATAAATTCAATCTGGACATTTTGAGATAAAAGACTGTTTTGCCTGCGCAAACTGCCACTGAGGCTTAGATATCATTGTTGCAAAGCTTAGAGCAAATGAAGCAGCTGTTTCAGCCCAGTTTAAACATGGTGAACAAGAGTAAAGCATATTAACTCCAGCTGTGTACTGATAGCAGCTGGGAAGGAAAATCACTGCAAGGGAACCTTAAAGTAAACTTTGAATTCTAGCAGGCTTAGCTGTCGTGAGTGCGCCTCCAAGGGAGGAGCAGCGGTGAAAATTTGATCCTTAGAAACGTGGAGAATTTAATGAGAAATTCCCATGCCTCTTTTTGTGCTTCTGTAAAGATGCAGAGCAGGTTCTGGAGTCAGCGGCGTCACCTCTGAAGATTTTGATTGCGGATCTCATACTGTACTTACATGCATGGGCAATTTTGAGATCAGGGCAAGTACTGAGTGACAGATTCTGTGCAGAGAGATGGTGTCCCTTTTAAAGCAGGATATTGCACCCCTGCCCTGTCTGGTAGAGACTACGCTGCAATCTTTTCAGTAGTGTTCTGTTTTCCAGAACAGCATGTACCAGTATGCAGGCTACTTCCGAGGTTTTTATATTCGGGTCACTTGGATTTTGTTCATTTTGGTCTATTGAGCAGAAAGAGCAGTATAAAAGCTAGAGGAAATAATGAATGTCACTTAGTGATAAAACCAGCAAAAGTTATTCAGACAAATTGTATTAAACCAAATATTTCCTTAGGTCCTTGTTGCAGTCGAATAATGGTTTACTTAGGTTTAGGTCTAATGGGAATATATTTTAAGAATTTCCTTCTAATCAGTACTTTGTGATAGCTCATGATTAAGAATAATTCTGGAACCCTTCAGTAGTTTGATTATATTTCACATTGGTATTTTAAAGATAACAAGTTAATTCAAGGCTTTCTCATGAAGCCATGAGCTCTCAGGGACTTTGCAAAACCCCTAAGTTAAAATATAAATAGCAGTGCTGAGGTACTGTAGAGTGCAAAAGAACAGGTCAGTAAGTATATGCTGTCTTTGCTCAGTATTTGCAAATTGATATGTCTATTGATAACTTTCAGTTGCACCCTACCCATGGAAATAAATAATGTTAAGACAAGAAAGCACATGTTTCTCAGTTAGACAAAGTGTCCGTAGCTCAGTATCTCCACTTGGCATTGGTCAGAATTTTGAGGGGCTTTTAATGAAAGAAAAGTTTTAGGGCTATTAGTGTTATTTCCACAGCATTTGTGTGGTTCCCCAGCTGTCTTTGAATACACATACAAAGAAAGTGACGGCACTGTTCAAGTGCAGGTGGGAATGACCTCTGTGCTGGAGCACGGAAGCTTTCAGCAATTTCTTGCGATTGAGGTAACTGAGCACACGTGTCCATTTTTGTGTAATTGCCGTCTTCTCTCTGTGCTTTCCCTCTTTCTCTTGCTCGTTGTCTTGCCCATCCCTTCAGTTTATGTTCATGTTCTGTTTGGTGTCTTCTAACCTTCATGGAGTTGGAATCATATCTTGGGTATGTTCTACAAAGAACCCTGTGTACTTTAGGTACATGTAAAAGGACTAGACTTAGACAGCTAAAGTTTTGGACAGGAGGTAACGCAGCTGTCTCTGTCGCTCTGAAAAGAGAACATAAGGATATGAATAAAGACGTTTAAATGAGGACAGTTAGTATTGTCATAAAGTTCTTTTAATGTTAACCAGCTGTTAAAGACTTGTTCTCATTCTGCAGTACATTACATGCCTCTTACTTTGTTGGAAGTCAGCGTGCTCTATTTCTGTATGCCTAGCAGACAATTGTATAATAAAATAGCTTTTCAGTTTCATGTGTATACAGTTATGAGAAAGCAGTAGTTCCTCAAAGAAAGCAATTTTGGCTTCATTTGTAAAGAGTGCTTTCAAATGTAAAGTACGGAATATGTTGAGTGAAAAATGTAAACATATATGGATGTATGTGAAAATAGGACATGAGTGGAAAAGGACAGGAGAAACATGAACAAGGGAAATGGAATAAAAAACACATCTTGCAAATGACTTGACAAGACCACATCAAAACAGCTGTAAAGCTGAGTAAACTCCAAAGCCCAGTGACACATACAAATACGAGGAGAATTTTAGTGTTCCTGAAAGGCAGGGACCTGAGCGGGTCACTGAGAGTTCTTGGATGGCGTATGTTAAAATGATTATCTCTTTCCTTGTGCTTTTATATGAAAAATAATTTGTCTCAGAGAAATCTGATGGCTCTGATCCTTTTATGACTGCAGTAACTTTCTCATTGACCCTGGGACTGTGTCCAGTAGGTGATCACATATTAAGTAACTGATGGTATTGCATTTTTATTTCAATTATTCCCATCTACTACAGTTCATTTTATCTTGTTTTTCAGGTTTGATAACTACGCTCGATCTTTGATTGTGGTCTCCTCTGAATTGCAACACTGAAAAGAATGGCAACAGAATGCATAAAAAACTGCTGTAAATTGTGTTTCTGCATGGAAAAAGAAAAAAATGATCGTGAGTTCTTACACAATGACATTGACTAAGGGGTTTGCTCTTCTGGCTTCATTAATTATGAGTTTTCCCATTAATAAAATGACTGTGTCACCCGTGATAAACTTGAATTCTTTTACACCATCCAAAATTCTTTCCATACCTCCACTTGGAGATTGAACACATGCTTGTTAGTGTTATGAATTGGAATTGGAACTGAAAAATAGCACTTGTCTGAAGTCTGCTCTTTGCAGCCTGGAATGCTGTCCAAAAAAGCCAACCTTTTTACCCAAGGTTATGTAAAGGTCTCGTATCTTTCAAACTCCAAGAGTGAACACTTTTTTTTAACTCCCTGTGGATTTGCTGTCAGGATTTTCTTTGATGTCTTAGTTGTTTGAAGAACTCTTCTATCATACTAGTGTACCTCTTGTAAAAATTCACTTAAGAGCACTATAGCTATAAGTATAGAAGCTTGGGCAACAGAGTTTGGATCAGTACAGGTCTCATGAGGATGAGTATCTTTTCCAGGTGCTGGTCCTGAATTCTGGTAAAACTGAATACTAGCAGCCGTTAAGTGATGTATCAAGCACAGATCCTACTAAATAAAAGAGATCTGTTCATAACATTGTTTAAAACTTAATGCACATGTGGACTGTCTGGTTTTTTTGCTCTTTATTTTTAGCGGTTTCCATGGTGCAGGAATCTGAAGCAGCAGCCACAAGCAAGCCAACTATTGTAGAGAAGCCTCCATTGTCTTCTGTGTCAGTGAAGCGCCAGGTTGGGTGTTCAGAGGATTATCTGCTTTCTAAACTGCCCCTGGATGGTCAAGAGGTACCATTTGTGGTCCCTCCATTCAAACTGGCTTACGTACAGCCGAAGAACCTTCCTAGTATCTCACATGCTGGAGGGATTCAAGGTAAAACATAGACAGCATTCCTGAAATAGTTGTTTAGCTTCTGCTACTCCTTGAAAGTTGTCAAGTATTCCTACTGAAAACATGTTTGCAGAACTTTTCTGGAAGCCTGGTCTTGTTTGTTTTCTCTCTGGACATCCAGAGAGGTTTTGTGAAGGATGTCATCCCACTATGAATCTCTGTGATGTTGCATGAATAAAACTGAAAGGGAGGATTGCACACCAGTGCTCATACTCAAAGTAATGGAAGACATTTAAAGGAAACAGAAGCTTTAGTAAAGAATTTATTGGAGGCAGGGAAAGACCTAATGCGTTCCCAGCATCCAGATCACTCAAGTAAAGGAGGAGGGTGGTCTGGCTTTCATGTTTAATGTACTGATATGTTTTAGCATACTAACACATCTTCCTTTTCAAATGTCACCAACAGATAGCATGTGCTACTATTTCCTGTTCTTTTTGCTGCTCCTTGGGAGGCCAGGGGTCCCAGATCTCAGTGGTATAAGCTTGCACATGATACTATGATTCTTTGCTTCACAACAATCTTGTGCTTCAACCTCTGCCAAGACTGCCAAAATGATGTACATGCAAATTAGGCACAGTGGCATTTTAAAAGAACAGGGGCCTGGCCCAGTAACGTGAGTTAGCGGCATATGCTATCACTAGCTAGGCTCTTGGTCCTGCCAGGAGATGCCTAGAATTAGGTAAGGGAAGATTTTGGCACAGGGGCATACCTGAGCAGTTGTTTTCTCTAGAGTTGCTTTGCCTTGAGGACGTGCTAAGTGAATAATATGCTTTTAGTCCCATGTAACTGTAGTTCTTTTCTGAGGGTACAAACCTTAATAATTGAAAAAAGTCAACCACATGTTGCATAATAACTGATGCAGTACTATCAAACCTTTCTGTGTTTGTGTGGTTTTACTCCCGCTCTTCTCTCTTCTTCCTGGGTCCTTGCTATTGCTTCTTTTCTCGTCCTGCATGCCTATTACCAAACTTCCTCCTCACCTATCCCTTCTGGTAACATTGGCACCAGAGCCAAGCTAAGCAGCCTAGCAGAGCTTTTTGGTATAGGTTGGCCATTTTGTGCCCAGTCTTTTTAGTGGGCTTTATTTGTGGTGTTTGCCTCACCAGACATGTACACGAAACTTAATAGTTGGAAGGTAGAACTTGTGAGGCCTTCCTCATCTCTGAGCCTGGTCTTCTTCAGCCTCCCTGCTTCCCTGCTACTTCAACAGCTATTTCTTGTAAGTCCATTCTTGGACAAGGTACAGAAATGCAGGACATGCTTCTGGTAATCCCCTTTCTCACTGGGTCTGGGTTCAGGCTCTGCCTTCCTTTGTCCTACCTTATCCTCAAGATACTGTGCAGACAAGTCTGTCAAGGACTCTGAGGCGTGAATGTTCTTCAGGGAGAAGGAAGATGTGTCTAACAACCTTTATTCATGCTGTTCTACACAGTCTTACCAGTCAGTGACTTATAAACCAATGACTTGTCTTCATTGGGAATTCTGCTTCATCATCATTTCTGGAGGACCTGGTGAACAGTGGCCCGTAGGCTATAAAACCAGTAGATCTTCTGGCAGGATGTCCTGACTCTTCATAATTGTCTCTCTTGCATAAATATTTTAAATTCTTGAAGAAATATTTGAAAAGTGGCTCTTACATCGAGTAGGAGACTTCCATTTCTCTTTCCAAATATAAACACTTATTTTTTAAAGTACAGCTTTTTAAAAATGCAGAGTTTACTTTTTAGGGAGATTTACTAAATACAGTGAAGTGTGCTGTCATTCCTTCTTCACATTAGCCAAAGCACCAGCATATTCAAAAAATGCTGTTAGAGTACTTGCTTCTTAGACTGTTGTTAAATATCTGTAGAAGTCCAAGTTCTGCTCTCAGTTCCCCTCAATTTTCTGTGCGTGTCTGACCATTTGCCGTTAGTGAAACAGGACATGCTCAGTGTTAGCTCTTGGCATCCCTTCTGAAAGCAATTAAGTTCTGGCAGCCTTTCTCTTCAGTACTCACTGCAGCATGTCTCATGCTCTCACAGAAGTAAGCTAGCAGGAAGGAGTGTGCTCCTGGTCTGGAACACTGGTTTTTCCGTCACCTGCTGTGTATCAATTCTTTGTGGCCTCACGTCTAGCATTAATCCTAATGTACATCATGCTCAAGCCCATTATACTCGAATTCTTGCTTTATCATCTCTCATGTTCCATCTCACTGTTTTAGTTACTCTTTTTTACTTCCTCTACTAACACCTGGTGGAAAGGATTTTACAGCAATAATAGTTTCCCTCTTACGGTGCAACACACTTGCAGAATTGAAAGCACTTCATAATGGGATAAAGAACTTTTTAACAGATAGGTTGAAGTTCGGGGAGGTGAAGTGAAGGAAGCAAATGTCAGATCTTGGCAGAGTCCAGGTCACGCCATTCCCATTCCTACTGTACTGTTACATATGGCTTATTTTTGCTGCAGACAGACAAAATAAAGCACTACAGCAGTGTTGTTTACTGTTCTGCTGACCAAGACCTGCATGTTTTTTCTGAAATTATAAATAAATGAAAGGAAAATAGGGCAGCTGTGCTGTAATGGGCTGAGTAAAGGGCTGGGATTCAAGCACTCTCAGATCTGTCTACTTGTGCCTCAGCCAACAATTCAAGTCATTTTGGACCATTTTACCACTGACAGACTTCCTATGGAAATTGGATGACAAGGAGACTGCAGTCAAAGTTGCATTATCTTTCCATACAAGACCCTCCTGAAGGTCTGGGGGGTCCATTAGCTGAGTGGAAATGTCCTGGGGGTAGGTAGCCAAATATGTGAGAAGTTTTCTGTACACATGGCCCTACTTCTTCTGTTTATTTCTTTCTTGCTGTCTGTCTTTGGAGCCTTCTGTATTTTAACTAGTTAGGCATTTATTGTGGGACTCCAAGACAGAGTATGCATAGCTTTTTATGGCCAATTTAATTCTAATGTTTGCTAGCACACTGTGGAAATCTGACATAATGTGTATGTGTGTTTTCTTTGCTTTTTCTTTTTTTTTTCCCTTTTCCTGAAGTAGATAATATTGAAATATTTTGTCCTTTGCCCTGAAGGCACTCTGCCCGCCTTAGGAAGCCAGGCAACATGTGTTATGTCTGGAACTCTTGCATTTGATACTTGCTTGTGCTCCGCAGAATCTGCCAGAGCCTCATTTGGTGACCGGAAAGCAGAACTGCACAGCGTGTACCAGTGGCCCTACTATGACGTGTACAACCCATTCTATTTGGAGCATCGGGTTTCGCCAGATCTGATGAGGCGCTTCCAAGCAAAATCAGATAACAGGAAATTATATGGATCAGGTGAGAAGGACCACACCCTTACTCTTCCATCTTCTTCCCCTTCCCAAGGTTTATATGTAAGAGAAAAAAGCCATTAGGCTACAGAAGGCATGTTTGATTATAGCAGTTCTCAAAGTGGTCTGTATGCTGAAGACACTTCTTGGTTGGTGAATCGATCCTTGGAGCCAGCTCTGCTTGATTCCAGCTGCACTGTTCCTTTCTGTCTTTTGGGGGCTTAACAAGGCTTTCATGCATCACACAAAGGTAGACAAATTGGCAAAGCAAGCTAGTGTAGCTGCCTCTGATCCATGACAGGATGCAATACTGGAGATTCCAGCTACCAGTAACAGGAGTGTTTGATGGAGACAGAAAAAGGAAGTTGGGCAGTATGTAAAAAGGAAGTTGGGCAGTATGTTGAGTGGAGGAATGCCTGAGGAGTATATATCTGGCGAGAGGAACAAACAGCAAAAACCATTCAGGAACAGATGGTAGGAACAGGTGCAAAATGGGAAGTGGTGCTATATGCCAGCTTTTTTGTAGTTTGCTTTTGAAGGTGCAGACATGTCTCCACTTCTCACTGCATAAGTGTGTTTAAGAATGGGGGAGGGCTGTGAGGTAGTAAAAGTTTAAATAGAAAGGATAGAAAGTGTTTGGCTACCTGGGTAAAAATTTTCCTCTGTGCTGTTCATTGGTATATATATCTTACAATGAATGCTGTTTAGAGTAAAGTAGATGACTAAGTGTTGCTTGCTGTAAGTGATTGCTAAGGCAAATGCATTCAGAAAACTCATATACTTGGAAGAAATGTACACACCTCTCTTACCGAATCGGAAGCTGGCAAGAGCATGCATTTTTAAAGATGTTTTATTTAGAATGGTATAGCATGCTTATTTTACAGCTGGGGGAAATGTCTCAGTCTGTGTCCTGTTTTAAAAATAATTCTGAATCACCATAGAGACTACATGAAAAGACTACTCCATGTATTTTTTTTAAGAGAACAAAACCCACATAGAATTTTAGCAGCCTTTAACGCATATGGTTTTGCGAGGCTTCATAAGTACCTGTGGTGGGAGCCAAATGGATTTTATAAAACTGTCTTGAACATCTTCCCTTCAGTTAATCATCTCTTTTTCCATTTTTCTTCAAGCTAAGTAAACACTTCGCTAGTTTTGTCTTAGTAAGCTTAAACACAAGAAAGGTCACTTAAGTGTGTCTAGAGTACAATTCTAAAATGCTTTCTTCCTCCAGGAAGTTCCTTGTTTCAAAAGTTAGATGATTCTCTTCATGTGCATCTATAGACTGTTTAAGCAAAACTCTAAGCCTACTTTGTTGCAGCAAGCACTATGATACTTTTCATGTGTGTGGGCTTCGAACTACAGAATGTGTTTAATTGGAAGGTATGAAGTGAAATTCTTGAATTTTCATGTGAAGTTCCTCCTCTTCATCTTAAAAAAAACAAACAACAGACTGAAAAACAAATCAATATTTTTTCCAAAATTCTAGTTCTTAGTGGTAAACAACATATGTTTGTGGTTAAAATTTTTCTGCTTTTTTATATTTTACAGCTTTCTCAGTGTGAAAACTGACTTTTTTTTTCCATTAAAAAGTTAAGTTTCTTGAAAAAGGCACCAATCTGTTCCCCCTACCACCCCCATGTTCTTTGAAAACTTTAACCAGCTTTACTAGAAACAGCAGATCATACTGTCTTTAAATCATTTTGGTGATTTGTAACCTGTAGGCTTAAGTGGATGTTTCCCAGTAGTTTGTGAAAGTCATGAGTACTGAATATGGAATTAATTTTCATAACCGTAACCAATTTTGAATCAAGTAACAGGCCGTCTCTCCGATTTGTTCCCATTATATCAAACAAGGTTTCTAGGCCTTGTATGACATTATAATGCTATTCTACACCAGACTCAGTGAACAACTCAGCCCTTTTCTGTCATGCACAAGAGAGAATTTGGAACTCATGACACACATACAGACCTTCATTAAATTTTATCTAAATGATGTTGTTACTTTCCCTCCCATGGGTTGTCAAATCTTTCCTCATCTTCTGTTCTCTTTTTCTTCCTTGGGAAAAGAAAGAATTATTCTGTATTGTCACATCTCACAATAAGCAGAATTGGTAATTTCTTTTGATAGCAATAAAAGGGAAATTTTCAGTAACGAGTGATGTAATTTTATTAAGCTATGATCAGTGAATTGTAATGGAAGTCTTCTGAAATACCATAACATAGAATTGCAACAAAGAGCAATTGCATCAGATAGTCCTAGAAGTTGAACCATACTTCTTTCATTCATTTCAGTATGGGTCAGTTTTGAAATTGGGAGGCTTTAAAAACTTCTTGAACTTTACTGGAATCAGCAAGGATTCCTGAAACAGTGGCTGTCATTAGTTCAGCTCTCATTTTCTACTGTTGCTGCATAATATGCATAGACAATGTGCTTTAGCTCTGTATTGCTTCAAGGTCAAAAGAAAACTGATAGGATCTACTTAACCACCTCCAACTACTGAGGAAACTACCCTTCTTTAAAATAAAGATCTTGCTTTTGTACTGTAACAAACACATGTCATCTTAGAGCTAAGATTTGCTTTGCCTGAGATCTAGTAAGTGCAGAGCATGGTACTTTGACACTGTGATCAGTAAAGCCAGGGAGATGAGGCCAAGTTTAGCAGGCAGCATGTTTTTGCCACTGGGATCTTTATTGTGGAAAAATTTAAAAAAGGAGACCATGCTAGGCCCTGGTTCTGGCTGACTAGATTTGAAGACAAGGCTTTTCTGCCTTGCTAAAGCATCTACTAAAAAACCATTTCTCTTAAGGAAATAACTTTGAGGCAGGCTGCCCATTCTACCAGTGCTACCAATGTGGCCAACTAAGTTTGAACTATTTCAAAGATAGAATTGGTTAAGATATTTTAATGGCTTGTTCTCTCCATTTTCTCATTTCAGGAGTGTGTTTTGGGAAAGGGAGGTGGGGAAAGGTGCTGACGTCCTTCCTTAGATGTTATTTAGCTAGGTTTCAATTCTACCATAGGTCTACTTAACTTTTAAAAAAGGTTCTTAATTATTGGGGTTTTTTCTAGCTGTGAAGCTTACATGATCTGTGTTACTCTCTTTGTCTTTTTAGTTAGTGATTTAAGACCTAGTACTTTGCCTGGATCATTTGATGTCAGTCGTTCGATGTTTGATCTCAGAAGCCCACCTCATCGATTCATGAAGGTGAGTTCCCCTTGTAACTTAGGTTACACTGAAAACTCAGCTTGCTTGGTGTCTCTGTTCCTGTTGCATTGTGTTTTCAAAGTAAACACTGAAGGGAATTGTACCATACACCACACGGAAGGACTAGAGGGAAAAGTTCAGCGTCTTGACAAACTTCAAGAGGCTGTTTCCTGATGTCTTCTCTGACCACTGCTGTTCCAGTCCAACAGGGCTGTTGAGAAACCTGAGTAGGCTGTTAGACAGGACAAGACAGACAAGAGGTTGTGGTTCATCATCTTGTGATTTCTCCCATCAGCTGAAAAGTGAAACACTTGAAGTTTCCATTGATGCAAAAGCCACTGCATTTATTTTCAAATCATTATCTTTTACATAGAGATGAAGATTCATATATATCAGTGAGCAAAAAAATCTGTGCTGGCCATATGTGTCCTGTATTAGCTCTTTGTGTCAAATGAGTAATACCAAGAGATTAGTAGGGAATGAGACAATTACTTGAAATTGCATGTTGTTTGGTTTTCGTCATGTCTTGTCTCATGATAGATTCTATCTGGCCTTTTGCATCTGTTGCTCTGAATGAAGTGACTTTTTTTTTTTTGCCCCCAGAGATATGATTCATTCTCCAGTGTACCTAGCAGTACCTCTTCCAGGAAGGATTCGCAAGGCAGTAACAGGAGTCTGGGTAATATTTTGTTTGTTTACCTTGTAATGAAATATTTCCCTTTGCACTTGAAACGTTAAGATGTCTCTATTGTTGATGTTTGGGGGTTTTTTGAGATTAATTTAATTAGCAAGTTAGTTTGGCGATTCCTTTGCAATTGGAAATTAAGAGTTTTGGACTTGCACCTTCCTCTTGTCAGGAGATTGAGCAGATGAGCCTTTGAGGAGTTCTCCTGTTTTTGAAAAATCCATCCCTGGATTTACTACTCCAGTGAACTAAAAATTACAGATGTTCTGTTAGGATGGAATGCAGCACCTTGGTCACAGCCCTAGTCCTTTTTCATGTATCAGTATATTTCTGTGTGAAGTGCCTAGAATCCAATAACCCACATTGCACTGAGAATTAGGCAAGAATATTGCATGCAAACCTAGTATCCTTATTTATGAAAGAATGCTGAAGAAGTGGAGAACTGCAGAATAAACCCTCAAAAATTAATCAAGTTCCCATGAAAGTCACCCTGCTGGAAGTCAGAATTTCACCCAGTCTCCTCAAAAAGAAGACTTGGGGAGCAAGGACCTAGTTTCAGTCATGACAGAGAAATGCTGGTTATTAAATGGCTCTTCTGACTTGGAGAAAAGCGTAATAGTAAAATGTTTACTAGGCTGGAATTGAAATCTGAGAAAGATAAAAAGCAGGCCAATTTATAAACTTAATAGTAGAAGTGATTCATCTAAGGGAAGTGATAGATGAGAAATGTATTCTGGGTGTCTCAGGCACATGCTTTTTTTCTTTCTGAAAGTTGTTCAAGTACAAAAGTTATTAAATCCAATCTAGATAACTGAGGTAAACGTGAAGGCTTTTAGCTATGGAGAATGTCAGGCTACAGAACTTCATGGATATTTTGTCATTAAAATGTAGGCGTTAAGATATTTCAAACTTATTTTGAGAGAAGTTTTCAAAGATAGTCAGTCCACCTACTAATGAGTTCCCTTATTCTTGGAATGAACTTTTAAGATACTGCATTGCTTCTAAAAACACTAATTGGCTTTCTTCCATAGATACTATTACATTATCAGGTGATGAACGAGACTTCGGAAGACTGAATGTAAAGTTATGTTATGTTTCATCGGTAGAACAGATTTGGATCACAGTTTTACATGTAAGAAAATATAAATAATTTGATTATTATTGACACAAATGGCTATTTCACTATACTTAGTGTTAATTCTCATTAAATTTGGCTCTCTTTTACTTTAATGAATACTTTTAGGAGAAAGAAAATTACTTCTAAGTATTAATATAAACAAAGTTCAGTCAAATGTAATACTGGGCTTCATTCAAAGTATCTTCCTCTCCTTGATTTTTTTTTCCTGTTGCACTCTGTTCTGCTGCAGTCAATAGTAAAAAGTAGTATATAACTCTTTATGTTACTATACGTATGTTCTGATTGTGGAATGAGGAACTGTTTGGCATAGATAAGAAATCTGAGCTGGTCATAGGCTGGTCCTGCTGTGGAGTTTTCCTGTGGAAATGTGGAGGCAGCAAATTGGAACAACTTTGCAGGCAGCATTTAACTGATTTTAAATCTAACAGTTCCTTCAGGGCAAAACCATAATGGCAGTTTGAGGACATGTAGCTTCTTGTGGCTTTTTTTTTTTTTGTTAGCTAATATGATACTGTTATGCTGGTTGTTTTATACACTTCCAGGAACTGTGAATAGGCAATGGAACTTTGAGTAGTCAGAAACCTCATAACTACATTAAGTGATAAATACTACATAAGGGATTTCATGATTTATCTGTTGTCAAATGGCCACATAGTGAAAATGTTAAAATCTACTGAACAACTTTTTGCCCTCTGGTTGTGAAAATTAATTATTAAATTATCTGAAGTGACACAATCATTACACAGGCTCTTGATTTATATTCAATAGTAGAGGAATTAGGCATAATTCTAGAACAGTGTCGAAGACTTTGTTTCTAAGTTGTCTGAAGGCCAGAGTCTATATTGTTTAAACTGACTGTGTTTTCAATGTTGCAGTGCAAAGACCTGAGCTGGCCTTCTAGCTGTGGGGAAAATCCTCGTATCTATGTCAAGGGAATTCTCACACTGCCCAAACCAGTGCATTTCAAATCTTCTGCCAAGGAAGGGTGCAATGTAAGTAGAGGCAGGGAAAACACCAAGAAATCTTTTCCCCTCAAAAAATAAAAATGAAATGTAAATGGATTTTTAAAATGGACCAAACATCCACTCCTGTGCCGTATTTGCTGTGGCAGCTACCTAGGTTCAGGTTACTCCTCCCGCCCACAACTTCTCAAAATCCTATTAAAAAGCCTGTTCCACTTCCTCCCCCTATATCCTCTCTTGCATTGTACCACTGTCTTCCTCCTGCCCAAGTCTGCAGGACAGATACGCTCATAGGGGACTGAACCACGAGCTGCAGGCCTTGGCAACTCAGTGGTGGGGGACTGGAGGAAGACTGGGCATACCTGTAGGCGCACATTCACCAGGGAAGGTAGATGATGTACTGCCTCTCAGTTGCCTCCTAGGGCAGAAGATGAAGTTCATACTTCCTCTCTACAGAAAGCGGTAAGGATTGGTCACATGGGACAAGACTCCTGATAGTGGCAGCAAAGGAATATTATGGGGGTGGAAGGTTGTCGTGGTTTAACCCGGCTGGCAACTCAGCACCACGCAGCCGCTCGCTCACTCCCCCCCTCCCTCAGTGGGATGGGGGAGAGAATCAGGAAGAAAAAAAAGGTTAGAGCCGTGGGCTGAGATAGGGACGGTTTAATAAGAGAAAATAATAATAATAGTAATAATGGTAAGAGAATATACAGAATATACAAAATGAATGATGCACAATGCAACTGCTCACCACCCACCGACCGATGCCCAGCCCATCCTGAGCAGCAATCACTCCCCGAGCCACGATCACTCTCCGAGCTGCGACCGACTAACACCCCCCAGCCCAAGCATGACGTTATATGGTATGGAATAGCTCTTTGGTCAGTTTGGGTTAGCTGTCCTAGCTGTGCTCCCTCCCAGCTTGTTATGCACCTGGCCGAGCAGGAGAAGCTCAAAAAGTCCTTGAGTAGGCTGAGCACTACTTGGCAACAACTAAAACATCAGTGTGTTATCAACATTCTTCTAGTACTAAATCCAAACCACAGCACTATGCTAGCTACTATGAAGAAAATTAACTCTATCCCAGCCGAAACCATGACAAAGGTAAAGCAACATAAACCTCACATAATGGGAGTCAAAGGTAAAAGAAAATAAAATTGGCAGGAGAGACTGAAGCAAAAGGCCACAGGAGGATTTGCTGTGACAATGTGTCTATGCTGTTTTAAAGCTCCAGGAGAGATGGCTTCAACTTGTTACGGTAGTGAAGAATAATCCAGAGCTTTGTCCCTGCCAGGGTATGACGATGAGGTGGTGAGTCTGTGGGGGCTTACCGCTGTAAAAGTGCACTTTTGCAATGCAACCTAAAATGGTAGCCAAGAGCAGTGGCTGTAGGACCAGGAAACCTTAGTTTCTAGGTTTCGGGCTCGGTGTGACTCTTTCACAATGGTGATGTTACCCCTCTGTTTTTCTTTCTAGGACATCGAATTTATGGAAACTTTTGTATTTGCTATTAAACTGCAAAGCCTGCAGGCTGTCAGATTGGTATTTAAAATCCAGACACAAACTCCCAGGAAAAAAACAATTGGAGAGTGCTCCTTGGCACTGCGGGAGCTCAGCTCAGAGGAGTCAAGTCATTGGCTGGATATATCACCTCCTTCCAAAGCACCTGTAAGTGCCAATGCTACAAAAATGTGTCATTATATCACCTAGACAGAGTTGCTGGAGATGAAAGTAAAATAATTCAGTACTAATTTGAAGTTAACAACAAACAGGGTTTTTCTTTTTCTTACCTCCCCCCCCCTCCCCCCTGCCCTGCTTTCTTGGGGAGAGGCATTTTGATGGGGGAAAAAAGCAGACTTTCAAACTCTGCACATAGCTGTTCTGGTCATAAACTGCAGCTGTTACTGAGAAAAGAGCTAGAGCAAGCTCTTCCACACCATGGCCCACAGCTTGAGGGAGGGGCATTCTGGGGAAACGTTCAGCAAAGGACACCGGGTAATTGTCTTTTCCGACCAAAAAAGCATCAGAAGATCCTTAGGACTCACAGCAAGAGCTCAGAGCAAATGGAATCTGCTTTTGTTATGGAAGAAAAGTGCTAAGATCTTCAGTGGCTTGAAACTGCAGAGATAGCTATATATTTAATGTTCAGATTGCATGCTGTGAAGTCATAATTCAGACAGTTCATTTCCATTAGCATAATAAGAAGCAGGTGGTTTTCACAGTGGGATTTTCTTTCCCCTACCCTCACTTTGTTTGTTTCTTTTAGAGATTGTGTCTAGACATTTGTATTTTCAACAAATTAAACTTGAATTAGCAATTCAAAATCAAATTTTATCTAAGTGTGTCTGAGTAATATGAGTGATACTCTCGATTTCCAACGTAAGTTACACTTGACATTTTTTAATTCTAATGAGAATAACCATATTGCTTTAAAAGCAATAAGATTAAGTGAGAGAGGAAGCTCTTTTAGAAACTGCTTCATCCCAGTGTAAATTCCTGAATCATCTCATAGTTTCTATGTTGGCTTTCCTCACCATTATATCCAGACACTGATGGAATTCATCCCTGTACTACCCTGTGAGGCAGCAAACTACTTGACTTGCCAACAGAGAGCCAAAGCTCAGACTTGAGTAAGTGGCTTCTTCTCAGGGTTACACAGAAATTTTATGACTGACCTGCAAAGAGAATTTGGGTCTCTTCGATGAACTGGAGCCTGACTTCTCTTTATCTGACTTGTTGCTCTTTTGCTTGGTGCATTTTGCTTCACTGAAGTGCGTTCAAACTTGAAGGGAATCAGGATTAGCAAAGTCCTTTTCAGTGGAGGCTGTCAGGAGAGCTGGGTCTCCACAGGCCTTCTCTTGCTGTTCTTAGAGTGTTCAGAGTATGTTAGTGTCTGACAGGAAAGTAATGAGGATGTGTCAACACAACTCTGCCACTAGCAAAAAAAAAATTCAGACCAGAGATCTCAGTACATTCAGCGTGTGTGTGTATGTGTCTAGCCATGTAAAACACAAGTACTTGCATAACATGGGAAACTCCATGGCATGCAGTCACCCTAAACCTTCATGACACTACATGACAGGGCCTTGTATCTATGGAAAGCATTGCTTCTATCTCCACACTGCAAAATTCAAAAGTGCGGGAAGAGAACTCCGAAGGTTTTTGTGTTAGTGGAGCATACCCCGTCTCTCAGTTCCGCACCCAGGTTTAGCACAGCTATAACTGCATATCCAGTTTTCCCTGTATGTGTCTGCTCTTACCATTGAGGAGTCTCCCATGTGAAAACTCGTTTATTCATCCAGTATCTCTGGCTGCAGCCCACGAGGGCCGTATGTGCACTGCACACAAGCAGTCCATCAGAGGAGCACATGTACTGCAGCTACAACAAGTGCAAGATGCACTTACTTACTGTGCATCTGCAGGTTGTGTATACAACACATGCTTGTATTTCTGTCCAGGAAATCCCAGATAGAGATGTGGGAGCCCAACATATGACAGAATTCCTGTGTTTCCTGAGTTTATAAGCAACTTAATCCAGATGTTATGGCAACATTCTTCTGCTTGTAGGTGTGCCGTGCAGAACTTCAAGTAGGAACTTGTTTTCAAGCAATAAACAGGAGGCTTCAGTTACAGATTCTTGAAGCACAAAACCTTCCTGTTTCATCTACACCGCTGTCTTCAAGTAAGTTACATCAGCTGTCTCATGCCTCCTGTCTAAAAGCATTTGTAACAGGTAAATTGCTGCTCGAATGGGTTGGCAATTCATAAAATTCCTTACAAACCTCAGACTAACATATTGTGCAGTAGATTTCCATTGCCAAGGCTTGTTTCCACAGATGTCTTACTTAATTACTTTTTGTTTGGTTTGAAGCTACGTGTTTATGTATTTTGGAAGATTTTTATCCCAATATTAATCCTGACATACAAGAGTATTAGCTTGCACTTGCTGTTTGGATACTGTGTTAATCAGTTCAATATTATTGAACATACTCCGTTTGTGTGACTAGTCAGGAGAGCTATTGTACAGTTCTTTTGGCCAGACTTTTGGGAAATTTTTACAATTTGAACCATACATGCGGATCTTGTCAGTTCCTTATTGGGTGTGTTTGTGAGTAACCCTTGGTGTGCTATGCTTTTTTCCCTCCCTTTTGTGCTAGATTTCTTTGTGAAAGTTGGAATGTTTAGTACAGAAGGGCTGATCTACAAGAAGAAGACTCGTCTTCTTAAGTCCACTAATGGCCGAGTGAAGTGGGGAGAAACGATGATTTTTCCAGTCAGCCAAGCTGAACAAGGAATTAGCTTTCTCATCAAGCTCTACAGCAGAAGCTCAGTGAGAAGAAAACATTTCCTAGGACAGGTTGGTTTCTGCTAACTAGCATGATAATCCTTTTCTTAAAATCCAGTTCCACAGGTTTCTTGGTATGTGTTTTAAAATACTTTAAATAAGGTGGCATATAGCAAAATAGTAAATTCTAATAAACTCTTCTGGTTATGACCCAAGAAAGAATAGTACTGGGCTCTTAAGCATGCGCTAACATCAGAATGGGAGTTGACATTTGATTTTGCTTTTAAAAAGAAGTCCTTAAGTAATTTTTGTGTGGAGTATTACTATGTGAGAGACTCCTTCCTACAGACAGACGCATGATCTCCTCCTTGCCTCTAGACTTTCTGAAGAAATCAAACATAGCACTCACAGGAGCTCCACAGCCTACAGTGTCCTGTACAGAAAGGGGGGGTGTTGGCTTACCATACCAATACACTGACAACGAGGTGTCTGTAAAGGAAATACCAACAGCTACAATATCAGACTGCCTTCCTGTGTAAAGCAGTGCTGAAATCAGCACAATATTCTAAATATGTATGATCAAGGATAACGCAGATGAACACAAAATTATTTTTTAGTTCAGTGCTTTTTTTTCTGGTTTTTTTTTTTATTATTTTTTACAGCTGGAACTTTTCTAGTACCACTTTGAAAGCATTTATGTGATCATATTTCTTTAACCACCATAAAGCTTGGTAGTCTGGTGTCTTTTTATTCTCTCTGTCCTCTTCCCTGGTTGTTCTAATTTACCATAATCCTGTCCTTTCTTTCTCTCCTTTTCTTCATGGTATAGAGAGCCATAGCTGTTCTTAATGTTCGGTGCTTTCCCTGACACAGCTAGAGTTAGTAGCAGAATTTTAATATGTGCATAACTGAGTAACATGGAATTGATTTTTGAGACCCCAACTGTAATGTCCCTTTTCAGATGAAGGACTGTGCTATCCCTGGGTACAGAAAATGGTACTGTCCCATTCTGGTGATGTTTCTTGTGCTTGCTGAAGACTTGCAGTTACAGAAGATGCTGATGTGCTGTAGAAACAATATACCAGCAAGTGTTACATGACCTTCCTCCATTTTATGGAGCCTCATGTCATACATATTCCACCTTTCTGAGATTCCTGTTGGTGGAATTGCACTTGGAATAGGAAAAGGAAAAAAAGTGTTCTATTCAGTTGTGCTACCTTGGGGCAAAAATAACTGGGTATGATTTTGCAGTCACTCAGCAATATCTGAGGTCATCTTAATCTGATGAGTTTCATTTAATCATGAATCTTATTTTTAGGGGAGGAAATGAGCTACTTCTGCTCTTCAGAGGTTATTTGGAAAAGGTTGTTTCAGCTCATGCAGGCAGACACTGCCACATAACACATGAAGACATAAAATATGGCTCAGGGAAAATTGTACTTTGAGCAATTGGCTGGGTAGCTGGAAAAAGATGAATATAGCTGGATCTATTAACTTTGTTCTTCAGAGAATGATGTTTAATTGGATGCTGTTCTAAGCAGACAATACTTAGATTAGGCTGCTTTTACAGGCATGTCTTTAATCATGAGCAAGATGTATATTGAATCTCTGTGGACGAAACGTCAGCCGTCTGTGGTATTCTGGAAGACATTATGCTCACTTCTTGAGGACTCATGCCTCAGCAGTGTAGGCTAAATGTACTTCATGGTGAAGGTTTCTGAGAAGTCTTAAAAGGACTCATTCTTGGAAGACTTGAGGAAATAGAGTCCCATAAATAATGATACCTACTTACATAAGCAGAATTCTTTTGGCAGTGGAGGCTGGTGATAATGTTCAGGAGGAAAACTTCCTACTTTTACCTCATTTCCTCGTTTAATGGCCACTATTCATTAACTGAGTACTGAGAAGGACTCTTACTGCCTGGCTATGTGTGGTATGGGCATGTTAGTAACCTCTGTGGAATGCAGGTCTGGCCCTGTCTGTTGGAGTGTGCGATTTTAAATGCTAATGAAAATGCTGGACAGCTGTCTCAGGATGCCAGATGGCTTGCAGCCAACTGGAGTTTGAATGCATAGAACTATCACTGGCCCTGATGAGCCCTTGACCCAAGCACATGCATTTGAGTGTAGCAAGGAATGCTTGACTTAAAACCTCCTACTAAGTAGAGAAACATCAGTGTGTAGTGCGTTCTCTAAACTATTTATTTAGCGGCTAAATTTAAACCCAGACTCCCTGTGTTCCCAGCGGAAAGCCAAAATATGCTAGTCCCAACAGGACTGTGTTTGTTGCTATGATGCTCTGGTCGCAGTCTACATGTTGTATGTTCTACACTTACATGGTATTTATTTGGAACCAATAAAGGCTGGACCTCTGTGTTGTATCAGGTAAACTCAGTTTTATTTTTCTTTCTGTTTCTTACTGCAGGTCTGGATAAGTTCTGATAGCAGTAACAGTGAAGCAGTAGAGCAGTGGAAAGATACTATTGCCAACCCTGAAAAAGTTGTTGTTAAATGGTACAGCATTGGTCCATCTTGAAAACTGGAGGTGAAACTCAGGACTGATTTTTCTACAAAGATAGTCTACACTGTTTAAAATAGTGTAAATAAAAAGAAAAATATTGCCTACACAAGTTCTTCAGAAGATCTCCACTGCATCACACCTCCATGGTAACTGGGAAAATTCAAAGTTTCACAAAGAGAAATACTGGCTAAATACTATTAAGAGGAAGACTTAGGAACTGGGAAAAGTGCTCATTTTATTTTAAAAAATCCACCTTGAAAAATATATTTTTCCCCCTTTTGGGCCTCCAAAAAAGCAGAGAAACCCCATTTGGAGAGAAGCAGTTCCAATCAGCATCATCTTCACTAGTCGCTGACACCATCCGTATCTGCAGTCTTGTCTTTGGCAGACTCCAAAGTCCATGGGGATCAGTCCCGTCAGCAGCTTGAGCCTAGGTACCTCTGAGCCTCTGGGGTTGCGCCTGTGTTGACAGCGTTTGATCAGAGTAACCTGTGCCTCAGCAAGCGGGAAAGCCGTGGCTGTAGGAGGAGGCATAAAGGGAACTATGCAGTAAGGCAGCACCCAAAGGCTTTTCTAATCTCCGTCTTTGCTGAAGGGTTCTTCAGTAACCTGACATGCCTGTAGCTTGGGGCTTCCCCCATCCTTCTCTCTAAACAGAGAGATTGAAAGAGAGGAGTTTCCCTGGCCAGCTGTGACCTTTGCAAGTGGGGCCCTGCAGACTTGCTCTGTTTGGGTGAATTCTGGTTGGAGTCAGTGGAATAACACAGAGGCAATGGCCCTGCCTAGGATCAGGGCCAATATTTTTAGATAAATTACTTTCTTATATAAAATTCTTATACATAAACCACTTCCTATCTAATCAACAATTTCTAGCATTTGCTTACATTGCTAAAATCCAGGCTAACATGTACGAAGGAGTAAGCAAATGTTTACTGACATAAGTGCTTTTTGATATCAATTAGAATGTGGCATAGTATGGGACTCAGACTTTGTTTAAAAGATGGGCTACTACTGCAGAACTATTTGTTAAATGTCTAGGATGCTGAAAAATTTGTGTGGGAGTGTATTTTTGTTACTTGTTTCTAGCAAGAGGAAATTACCATACTTTTATTGCAAATTATATTTTTCCTACAAAATCCTAAGGTTATTTTTTCAGTTAGTCCCTGTATTTTCAGGGGTTTATTCATAGTTATTTTTAAGGTGGGAAAAAGCCATGTATATAATTGATAATATATACATCTGAAAGCACAGACCTCTTTGCACTAGTTTAAGCACTGGATTTAAAAATATATGTATATACTCAATTAAATCCACTGCTTACACATTTACTGTTGGCTGTCTGGACTGTAGAAATGTGTATGTTCATATAGGTGCTGAATAATTGTATCTTTTTTTTAAAACTTGGATCCCGTTCAAACATCTGATGTGAACTGAGTGGCAGTGAGAGCACTCGTTGCTGGAAGGCAAAGGAACAGTGGGGAGCGGAGAAAACACTGTAACAGGAAAGCATGTTGTATTTATGCATAGAGCTCAAAGCATCTTTATTTTAACTTTTTTGACGTTAAGGGTCAAGAAAAAATGGAATCCCTTAAATATTTTTTTTAATCAGCTGATAACTGAAGCTTTTAGAACTTCAACCATCCAGAATTTTATTGTTGAAATTTAATATTTAGCAAATGGGCAAACCAAAGGATTTTCCCAGGTTCTTATGTGTTCTGCTTTTTGACCAGTTTTTATAAATGAACTGAAAAAGTTTTTGCGTGTTACTCGGAGAACAGACATCAGTTTTAGCTCTCACTGACACTCTTCGCAAAGCTCCCAGTAGGCCCAGAGGATCCTGACTGACAGCATTGACTTCCAGCCAGTTGCCACACTTGGGATGAGCCTGGCCTGTGGGATGAAATGAAAAAAGGAACTGGACCAAGCTGATATTCTTGGAGTATCTTTACTTGAATACGTGGATCATTTTTATTCATTGTGGCTGAGCTGCAGTAAACAAAAGTGCAAACTAACTGTTTCCTTATGCAGAATGCTGCTCTATTTGAAGGAGAGGACAGGGACTGTCCCAATGTTTTGGAGGCTTCAATTACCACGGAAGTGGTTCTACAGAGATTGCCAACTCAGTGGATAATGTGTAAAATGGACTTTTGGGGCTGGTTTAGGACACCTAGCCTTTTAAAGGCCTAACTAGTAATGTTTCCTTTTTCTTATGTTAATATTTAATCTATGCGTTTATAATAAAAGTTACAAACAGAACGTATTCCATCTTTTTTTTTATTTTCAGTTGTTTATCCCAGTGTTTACCAGCATCTCAAGCTGAAGTTCAAGTCCTACCTTTTTCTTTGAGAAAACGCCAACTCAGGAACTATATTTCATGTAGTGTTGCATGTAGGGGAGCTGACTGCTGACACATTGAGGAGATACGCATGGCCTCTTTGCAAGGTGTGCACTCTGAAGAACATACCCTGAGGCACTGCTTCATCCTGTGCTTTGGGGTTTTCTGCATTTGTGTGTGCATTCATGTAAGAATTTAATGAATTCTTAATAGTTGGCTAAAGGCACTGTGCTTTTTCACTGCAAAATTGGAACATTTAAGTTGCTTGCTCCCCAGATTTGTTCCTCAGTCTATAGAGAGCACTACAGTGTTCTTGAGGAAACTGATGGTATTCCAGGTGTCGAAAGCAGTCTGTCCTTTATTTGTCCCACCACACAAAATTTCGCTCTGCTTGTTAATTCATCTCAGCTGACTCAGTGCACGCTCCATTACTCCAGCGGAGCACTGGCAGGTCTGTTTCTGTGTGGGCTCCAGCCTTGCTGTACGTAGCGGGGTAGAGAGGGAAACGGGCAATACATGTCTGCAATGAGATGATGAGGAAAAGAAACTTCTGTTGCACTGTTTTGAGTTTTTTGTTGGTTGCGGTTTTGGGGGTTTTGTTTGTTTGTTTGTTTGCTTTTAACTGCTGTGTCCTACTTGTGTCCTAATTACTGGCTCCCAAGATCCTGGGAGGAAACCAGGAATTCTCTTTGCTTTCACTACCGAGGAAAATCATCTAGGGCTGGAGAAGGACCTGCCCAGCCCAAGAACCAAAAGTGCCCGTTGATCGCATCAGCATTTACCTTGCAAGCAGACCAAAGCTGTGCTTCTAACAACCCATCATCACCTGAAATAATAGTATGGTCCTCATAATGCTGCCTGTTTTGGTGCTTCTGAGGATGCCTGCCAGGTAAAGGGGTTGTCCAGACGATTGCTTACAGTGGGTTGGAAAATGGAACTGTTTTGGAGGATGGGGGCTGCCAGTGAGTTAATTATGTGAGGTTATCTGTATAAGAGGTGTTGCAGAGGATGTTTGGGAATGGAAAATGGCTGGAAGGAAAAGTCTTTGTAGATTATTTTCTCCCGAGTGCACGTCGAGAAGATACTGGGCTGCATACACACTGACTGACTCCTAAACGAAATTGTGAAAGATGGCAGATAATTTGTGGTGTAGTAGAATCAACCAGTTAGACAAACTTACTAGCTGTCACATAAAGCTTTTTTCATTGCTTTTTCATTGGGCCTGGGCTTATCGGCATAGGTGTTAGACAGCAGCCCTGATGAAAAAACACGAGACGAGGGGATCCATGCGTGTTCCTAGCAGCAGTCCCAGGGTACAACTGGCTTTAAAACAAGGTGTTCTAGCAGGTGTTATTTTAATTTGAAGTCTTCAAAGGCCAGCGAGAAATCACCTGAGATGCCTTGCCTTTTAAGTGCAGAATATTTTGCCTTACTGCTTAGTGACTGCCTCAGTACAAGTGCCTGTGAGACTCTGGCTCCTCCGGATTCAGCTCCTGGCTTATTTGAGACTAAGGCAGCTTTTCAGAAAAGGGAAATGATGCGTCATCTGAAGACCGATCCACGATATAAATTAGCAAGGAACTTTATGTACTCCAGGATACAGGCAAGAACAAGGAAAAAGAGCACTCTCGGAGCACTCGTCCAATGGCGACAGCTGTATGTTGTCCCTTTAGCGCATGTTCAGCCACTCTTTTGGTTGTTACATCCAAGTTTACTGTCATTGAAAATACTGTTACAAAAGCTGTTTTGTCAGTTCACTTAATTTGTAGATACAAGGCGCACATGGTTTATAGTTGGTTTTGCTGTTGCTTCTAGTTAGCTGGTAACAATCTTGATGAAAGCAGCAGGGGCTCAGAAGCTGCACCACTTTCATTTCGATCAGGTCCAAAATGGATGTAGGTGAACTGGCACAACAGTTACGATCTTACATTAGCTATTATTCATAGAGAGATCTGTGCCTGCTTAGTTAGGAACCAACCATAAACTAATCAGATTTTCTAGAATGAGTGTATATAATTTCACTGGTTAATCAAACAGTTCTGTTTTAAGTTCATTTATTTATGACTAATAGCATTCTGTATGTAAACGAGGCCAAAAAAAATTACTTTTTGAGTCTTTACATCTCAATGGCACAGCATGGACTTCCTTTTAAGGAAAAAAATGTAAGATTCTACCTCAAACGATGAGTGGGTGTAACAGTTTGTAAACCACACTATCATAAAACATTACTTGGAAAATAATTGCATTGTATTTGAGTATCCAATCTTTTGTGATCACACCATAAATAGTGCCATATTGCTAGAGCCATTAGACATCCCTGGTTTGTTCTTTTGTTGGCAGGACATTCGTATAAAACAAAAGGTAATTTTGTAAGCATTCAGTTAAGCACATACACTGTTTGACTGGAAAACTCTCTGCCTGGTGGAAGTTGCTTCTTGAGTTATGAGTTGATTTTGCAGCCAAAGCATAAGGTTGTCTAGAAATTGGGGGCAGGGTTGTCCTGCTTCTTACTTTCATCCTGCCAACATATGTATGACATGGGAGGGAGGCTGCATAGTTGTGGAAAGCTTGGCATAAATCATACTGGACATGATATACCCTCCTTGTTTTTCCAGCTTCTGCTGTAAAATTACATCACCATGTAAATACAGCCCTGTACATGATCTCATGCTTGGTGCATGGAAAAAGCCATCACTAAAATCAGCACCGTGTTCCACAAACACTGCTCCAGCAGATTTACATTCTTTTTTCTAGCTTGTGCTGAGGGACGGGCCGTCGTCTCTCACAGTCCATGGCAAAACTCCCATTGAGTTCTGCAGAAGCAGCCCGTCTTCAAAGCTGGTTTAGTTTTTTCAGCATTGTGATGGTCTGATTTATCTAACAAAAGGTTACACACTGCTTAGGGGGGTTTTTTTGTATTTTTAAAATAGATAAAATCTGTTCACAGTGCTGTTTCTGGAGAAACTGAACTTCACTGAAAGTGGATCTGCATCTCTTAAATATGCAATTCTACTCATAGATTTCAGTGGGTTTGAAACAAATCCTCTATGCTGATTTTTCCATCGATATTTCTGCCTACAACTTTTTCCTTCCTTTATTTGCCTGTAGGCTGCTCTTCTACCTCAGTATAAACAAGTCTTTAAATGATGCCTGCTTTTTGCAATTAACTTTCTACTTTTTCTAGTAATGTTTCCCTTCTTTATCTAGTATCGGGACCAGCATGATGCATGTCCTACTTCTGCTGTTTAAAGAACTAGCTACAAGCAGGTGGCTTTCAGTCCTAGGGCTTGGATCATATCTGATGCTCTGCATTTCTCAGCTACCTTTGCTTGCAGCTTTGATGGTATGGTTCTTTTGGAGCTCCTCAAATTTCTGTGTTGTCTACCATCACTGAACAGAACAACGGGACAAATCCGTTGTAACTTCTGTGTACCTGAGTATCTTCATTTGCCTTTCTCCTCCTCCAAAAACTACCTTAGGAAATAATTTTGGGTGATGAAAAGGAGCAAGCTGTTCGTGCTTCTGACCTATGAGGACCGTATGGTGGTTTGACTGCCATTATTTGTGCTGTGAGACAAAGAGGAAGGCTCAAGGAAGAGTCATGAAAGGCTGCACCTCCAGGTGGAGGGAGGCTTCTACCTCCTCTATATATGATCTGGGAAATGCTTGTTAGCAGTTAGGAGACTGAAATCCCTTGCCAGATGCCCAAAGGGAGGGGTCGTCATATTGTACTTCTTACCTTTATCTTGTAAAACTCTCTGGAGCTATGGTGCAGCTAAATAGGGAAATTTTCCATAGGAGGAATGGTATGGTTCACAGATTTCTATGAAGCGGAGTACTGACTGAAAGATCTTGGGAGTCTTT